GTCAGTCAAATTTACTAGTTCATTTATCATAAACATAACTCAAGTTCCAAATAAGTTTCTTAAAATGAAATGTTTTAATTAAAAATAAAATGAAATTACACATAAATAAGTGTTGCTGTCCAGTGTCCCTTTCTAATCATGTGTTTTTAGTACCCATGCTCCTTGCTCTTGCTGTTATGCAAGGCCATCTCAGAGTCTATAGACTTTGCTTTTATAAAGCAGCAGGTGACGTGCTCTTCAGAATCATTCTCTCTTCTGATTTCCTTTCATCCTGCTTCCTTGTTTCTTTTCTTAGCAAGGTCCAGGCCAATGGACCATTCAACGTTCTTTTTGCTTGTTTGTTTTTGTTTTGTTTTATTTTTGAGATGGAGTCTCCTTCTGTCACCCAGGCTGGAGTGCAGTGGTGTAGTCTTGGCTCACTGCAATCTCCACCTTCTGGCTGAAGCGATTCTCCTGCCTCAGCCCCCCGAGTAGCTGGGATTACAGGTGCCTGCCACCACGCTTGGCTAATTTTTTGTGTATTTAGTAGAGATGGGGTTTCACCACGTTGGTCAGGCTGGTCTCGAACTCCTGACCGCAGTCAATCCACCTTCCTTGGCCTCCCAAAGTGCTGGAATTATAGGCATGAGCCACCATGGCCAGCCAATGTTCTCAACCAATGTGATGGCACAACATTCTCAGGATTTTTTCCATGTTATCTCTGTTCCTGATCAGGGACATGAGCAGAGCAGACCATATTTCAGGGCTACAACTGATCCCTTCTAGCCTGTCCACACTGATTACGTAGAGTCAAAACCAACCTTAGAAGAGTTCTACTGCCTTTGAACACACTCAGTCTTTGCTAAAGAGAAAGCAGAACTTATTCTGAGTAATCAGATTCTCAAAAGGTCTTTTAAATTAGAAGCTTTAAATAGGCACTTGACACTTTCACACATGATTATTTGCTTTTTGGAAACCACAATTAGCCCTCAGATTATTTGCAGGGTCATCTGCCTGATGAATGAAATATCTCAGGTGATGAGTAGTCATGGAAGTTCAGGTCAAGAATCTTTTCATGGGTGTAACATTTGCCTTTGCAATCACAACACTTGCTGGTGATTCTCTTTAGTATAAAGTAACTTATTCATCTGCAACTTATAAGAGAAAATGTAAGAAAAGCCTCCCCCTACAAAAGCAGTCATGAATACCAAATGATAAAGATTCATTTTCAAACTCCTTGGATTTTTGAGAAACACCTCAATGTTATTTTTTAAAAATCATAGTATACTAATTATGTATGCATAAAAAAAAAGCTTCAACTCATTAAAATATGACTTGGGCAATGTTGATGTAAATCATTCTATTTTAAGGTTATAAGCAATGCAATTTTAGTTTTTGTTTTCTGCCATTAGTTCCTTAAGGAGTATGTTTCTGTACTCTTCTATATTTATATTTATGAATGTTAAGTTCTACCTGTGATATGAAATTACTGTTATTAATTAATTCATAGGAACCATATTACCTACCTCATAAAAGTGAACTCAGAATAACAGGTTTTCATTAAAGGAACAAAAAGAATAGATATTTTATAAGTGTAAAATTTAGGCAAAGTTTAATTTAGCATCATATTACACCAGAAAATTATATATTAAAAATTGGATACAATATAAAAACTGAATAAGGTGTTGAAATTGTGGTTGGATTTCTTTATTTTGGAAATCTTAAGAGTTTGAAGTTTTTTAGCCAAGACAGTTATAACCCATGCAATTTGATTTCATTTTAAAATTATTCTACTTACCCTTTTTTATGCATACCTGTAATAAGAAGACCAGTGTGGAAAGGCATAGTTATCCTAATTCAGAGAGGTCAAGTCAGCCCTAGAGAGACCTTGAAAGTCTTTTACGCATTTCCATGAAAATTTGTACGTGTATTTCTAGGAGAAATTAGAGCTTCAGTTCCCACAACTTTATAAAGCTTTTTCCCACTAAGAAAAAAATCACCAGTTAAAAGATGGCCGTGGAAGGGAGTTGTGTGAAGCAAAAGCATTTTGTTAACAATTTGAAGGAAGTGTTTACAGTTAGAAGACTTTAATCATTCTTTCTGGCCTCTGGCTTTTACCCACTCTTGTCTGTTGGAGAAACATTTTTGGCCTATTTCTTATTACCCCAAGCAAAAGGCCATGCTACAATAAAAGAAGTCTGCCTGTGCAATTTATGCCTTTTCTATGTCCTGTGTTATTTTTAAACATTTAATACAGCACATGAATAAATGTTGGGACAGGTGGCTATTTAAAAAAACACACGAAGAAAGATAAGTGAGAAAAGGAAAAAGAAAAAATAAGAGGCAAATGTCAGGAAGCTGATTTTTTATTGAAGAAGTAATTAGACAAAGCTGATTTTTTTATTGAAGCAGTAATTAGACAAAACTGAGCAGTAGGAAAGGTCTAAGGGCTAGCTGCTTCAGAAAATGTAAGTATGCTACTCTGAGGTTAAGATACTTCAGGAATTACCATGAAATGCACTGAACTCTTTTGCATACCTAAGGGTATGCAAAGCAACTCTTCTGAATTCTAAGAGAAAATGAGGAGTCATCATCTAAGAAAAGTAGATAGAAGAGACTCTGTAAAATAGATCTGCTCTTCCATCAGACATCGCAGAATCAAACTCTCAGGGAGCTGTTCTCTCACCCAGGCTTCCTGATCTAATGGTAAAATCAAGAGTGAACAGTTGACATTCAACAACACCTTTGCGTCCAAATTTAGAAATTCCCAAAAGGTAAAACCAACATTCTTGGTATAAAGTCACATATTTTTAATTTCAAAAGAGATTTATTAAATCTAGCCCCTGAGATATTTATTCAGTTTTCCTGAATCACACTAGGATTTTTACCTATTATAGCATTTATAAGTAAAGTCCCTTGTAAGAAAAGGGAAGGAAAAAAATAAAATATAAAAAGTAAATTTTTTTAAAGCAAAGTCCCAGTTAGATAGCCTACTTTATTGCCTATCAAAGCTTGCAAGTACCATTGACAGCAAACACCACATCAAATAATTAAGTCTATTACCTTATATTTATTAATTCACCCTTCTGGGCTTCTGTTTTCTCACCGAAGAAATCCTGGAAGAAAGGGCCATTTGTTGTTAAATTAGTGGCTTTCAAAATGTGCCCACAGAACCTGTTGTTCCACAGTTGTTTAAATAAAACTGTAACAATTGCATAAGTGTTGTACGACCAAAGTAAATGCTTTTGCCTTCATCATTAAGTTCCTCGGTTATGTCTAGTTGAAAACATAAGTATCCTAAGATTGCAAGGTAAGCTGTAAAAACACTTTTCATTACCAAACACACTCTGTGATAATAAGAGTTTTCTCATTACTACATATCTAATACCAAAACAAAGAAGAAATAAACTAGATACGGCCACCAGTAGCCATAATCCCTGATAACCACTCATTGTGTTTACCAAACTATCTTCCTTATTCTCATTATTTTGCTTTATAATAAGTAAACATACATTTGAACTAATCAACTAGAGCCATAAATATCATCAGCATTGGGTCTATATGTTTTGGTCTTTTACACAATGTAAAGCCTCCCAATGACCAGGATGTTTCTGAGTCACTGCATGTGATTGTGTCCACGGCCCCTTCCAACTTCAAACTCCATGACTGTAAATATCAGTCATTATTTTAGTTTCGGGAAGTTTACAACAGCTTTTTAAATACATGAACAACTTCTAGGAATTTTTTCAAATCAATACAGGGAGTGGCATGGAGGGGTCTCAAGAATATCTCACTCCACACATCTATTTCTCGGTTCTTATTTTCTTTTCCTTCCGTTCCCACCATCTTCTTTCTTTGCTTTCCCATCTCATTTTTTGTTCCTCTTTCTTATACTCACCGACAACATCCACTGGCTTCCATCGTGGTCGATTAATTCATCTAGTAGTTCTTGAGGCTGAAGAGATTGTTGATATCTTGCCTATACTCTTCAAAATAATTTTTATGTTTTCATGGCTTTTTTGCTGATCCTAAATGCTAACTTAGAAATGTTGATAGAAGACTATAATGAAAACAGTGAAATTCACTAATAATCCCCAGTGCCCGCAGATAACCTCTGTTAATGCTTTTGCTGGATTTCTTTCCAGCCTTGTCTATAACTCATAACATAATTGAGATCATACTTTATACAGTAGATACTTGGAATTGAATAATTTGGCATTCTTGGTTTTCATTCTTTTATAAGCAAGCCTGAATATCCATGACACATAGTAATTCGACCATGCACTGAGGCAGGAATTTCAGTCCACTGGACTATAAGACCAACAATTGAGCCTTGCTGGCTGCCCAGCAGTTTCATCCCAAGAGGGCTTTGTTGCTCTTTGCTGGTGTCATTTGCACAGTCATTTTTCTGAAATATTAAAACACTTTGTTTCCTGGCCATAAGTGGTCTCAAACAGGGAGCCAAAACCTAATCCTTATAAGGGAAGCGAAGAGAAAGTCAAGTATAAAGCTTTAATGACTTTTAGCTAAAATTAATAAGGATTTTCATTAGTGGCTTAGAGCTATGACATCACTAAGCCCATCATATGTTCTGTACACAGTATATTACATGTTCTACTGGTAGTCCCAACGGGCCTTCCCAGAGACCCAGAGATATACTCCTCCTGCATGTCAGGGATCAGCATGTTTGTTTTCTGCTTCGTACATTTAACAGTATGTTCTGTGTGTTCTCCCATGTGACTAAGACATTTAGAATCTGGTCAAATGCAAAATCCTCTCTTACGCCTGCCATGCTATAATCATAGCTTCTGTCTTACACCAGGGGAAATTTTTTTGGAATTTATGCAGTGATGTGTGGCATTTTTACCTCTTGGGTGAAAGGTCAGGTCCACCATGTGGCCAGAAAGCCTCAAAGTATAACTCTGTGGTTCAGCAACAACTAAAAAGCCATGGTATGAATTCAGATGATAAACACCTTGATGTTTTCAAAGCAGTTTTAGATGTAAAATATGCAACGTTTA